TAAAGCTTGTGAGCTATGGGCTTCAGCTGGACCATTTTGAGAAGTGAGGTTGTAAGCATTTGGTCTAGTTTAGGAATTTTCTTTGTTTTTAAAAATAATTGTTTAATTTTATTAATTATAATTATTTTAAATTATTTATCATTATTATTGTTTTATTTTGCTATAGGGCATATGCACTCACTAGAGAGAGATGGGGCAGAAGGGGGAGTGAGAAAGCAAACTACCAGGTCCGGGACTCAAACCATGGTCAGCCATGTAGTAATTTTCAAAAAGTAGGAGTGATTCTGTGACTGAGTGTCCCAATAAATCTGATCTATAATGGAGGCGGATGGGAACAGATAAAGCTGTAATTGGTAAACAAACCGTGTCACCAGTGTCGGCCAGCACGGGGAGATGTCAGTGTCCTGTGAGGTACACAGAGCCAGGGTTCTGTCTGCACTTTGAACACAGTTCTGCAGTGCTCCTGTGTAGTCTCGCGTTATCACGGTCTCCGTGCTCATCTGACATTGTTTGTGAGGTGCTCCATGTCCACAGGAGAAGGACCTGGCCGCCTGTCAGCACAGGGCAGCAGCGCCACACTGAGGCTGAGGTCGGGCCAGTCCCAGACGTCGGGAGCTACTTTTCCTTCTCTCTTTCTTTTCTCTTTTAAAATTTACTACAGGGCACATGTTCTCACCAGAGAGAAACAGAAAAGAGGGAGAGGGAGAAAGTACCTCCCAGTGGGGCACGGCCAGGCAGAATCACTTCTCCTTCCTTTCTCCATCCTGTCAAGGTCTGGGGCATGCACACAAGAGCACGCATGCACACACATACACAGACGTGTTTTTCATGCCAGTGGGGCTAGTATTCACATCGCGTGCTTGGCCATCTGGAATCCTGCTCCCTTCACCGCTAGGCCACAGGCTGACCTGCTTCTTTCTTAAATTCAGTGTTTTAAGTACTTACATCCCAACTGGACAAAAATAACCAATATTTGGAAGCAAACTGGAATAGATTAAATGCAGATATCAAACAAGAAGTAGATGTGCGGGGGAGGAAGGAAACGTGAAGTTAGGAATGGGAATAAAATTTTTTATTGTTTTGGCAAAGATGAAAGTAAGTGATGACAGCAGTGGCTCCATGAGCGGGAAAGTCTAGGGTCATCAAGTCACTGGGGCTGAAAGCTGGGGTACACACTGCCTTCTTACAGTTATGGATTTTTTCATGAGCAATAGACACAGAGAGAAAGACAGAGGAGCAAAGAGCCAGCACCCCAACAGCACCCACTCCTCAGTCTGCCCCACTCCAGCCAGCCAGACCGAGTCAGGCGTGCACGTGCCTGGCACATCAGTGCAGTCTCAGGTCAGGATCCTGTGCCTCTCCGCATGGGCCAGCCCCAGAGTGCTGCAGTTCCCTGTGCCGCTGGCCCCAGGGTACAGCATTTCTAAAGAGGACTTCCGTAACACTCAGCAATTTAATATAAACATTCTAATATTTCCAAGCAGAAATTTCCTTTATAGGACTTTATTCCAAGAAGATAATCACACATGTTCTTGAATTGGGGTTTTTAAAAGGAAAGAATGGCAATAATTTAAATGCTGTGTAAGTGCTCTTATGGCAGGTATGACAGTGGACACCTAGCGTGTCTCAGGCACTGATGTCGGGCCTGTACTGAGAGGGTCCAATGCAAGCCCAGAGATGATCCATGAGGAAACTTTGTGACGTTTTGTACAGCCTAAA